TTGCCATTCGACTTCAAAGCCTCAAATAATGAGGCTGAGTACGAAGCTCTTATTGCTGGAGCAAAGATGGCCTCGGGATTAGGGATCTCCGACCTAATCCTACATAGCGACTCCCAGCTAGTCGTGAATCAGGTCAACGGTGTGTATATGGTGAAAGAAGACAGGATGGACAACTACCTACGTGTTGTGAAAAAAGAACTCGAAAGGTTCAAAACCACCCAAGTCAAACAAATTCCCCGATCTCAAAATAATCATACTGATGCATTGGCTCGCCTAGCCACCAGTGAGGGAATCGAGGAATTCAATAGCATTCCTGTAGGAAGGATATCTTTACCATCTACCGAGCTGGATAAAGTGGCCCTGATGATGATAGACCCCAAACCAACTTGGCAGGACGAGATCATCTCTCTTACCTGAAAATTGGAAAATACCCCAAAAATCCTACAGAGGCTAGAAAGCTCCGAACAAGGTCGACAGGTACACTCTCATTGATAATATACTATACAAACGGGGATATTCCACGCCCTTGTTAAGATGCTTGAATGAAGAGAAAGCCCAGTACGCCCTACAAGATGTTCACGAAGGAATATGTGGAAATCATTCCAGCGGACTCTCACTGGTCCACGAGATCATACGACAAAGATACTTTTAGCCTGTAATAAAACAAGATTCCCTTGAATTTGTCAAAAGATACAATAAGTGCCAGCTTCTCACCCCCATCATAAACACTCCACCGCACGAACTAAACCCAGTGACAGCACCTTGGCCCTTTGCAAAATGGGGGATTGACCTAATTGGACCCATGCCCATTGGGATAGGAGGTGTAAAATTCGCCATCGTCGCAGTGGACTATATCACTAAATGGGCCGAGGTAGAGCCCCTTGCCACCATCACTGAACAGAAAATAACCCATTTTTTGTGGAAATCAGTGATCTGCAGGTGCGGCATACCTCACTCCATTGTTACAGACAATGGAAAACAGTTCGACAACGCACGACTTTCGAATTTCTTGTAAGAGCTCGGCATCAAGAAACATTTCTCATCACCAAACCATCCACAGGCAAACGGCCAAGTTGAAACCATTAACAAGATTATTAAGCACACATTGAAAGTAAAACTTGACTTGTTAAAAGGAGGATGGGCTGAGGAACTCCCCAGTGTGTTATGGTCTTATCGAACTACCGCAAGAACAAGCACCGGAGAAATCACCTTTTCAATGGCTTTCGGCGTAGAGGCCATGATCTCGCTGGAAATCCACATTCCTTCACTACGTATAACTAATTACAACGAAGAAAGAAACCACATGGCTCTTCGCACGAAGCTCGACCTAACCAAAGAAAAAAGGAACAACGTCGAACTCAAAAATGCCGTTTACAAACAGCGAAACGCCAAGTATTATAATCAAAAAGTGCGGAAAAGAGAATTTGAGATAGGATCCCTCGTCTTGCGAAAAGTATTCCTCCCCACAAGGGAGATCGGCAGTGGATGCTTAGGTCTGAATTGGGAAGGTCCCTATCTGATAACGAAGGTCCCAGAAAAAGGGGCATATGAACTAGAAGACTTGGAGGGCAGATCCTTACCCCACCCTTGGAATGCTGAACACCTTAAGCAGTACTACTAGTAAACGGAAAAAGTCCCCTTGTAACGTCAATCATATCAATAAAAAGGGACTTTCTATTTCTTTTGAACATTTTTGCTCGGCAACCTGTCAGAACCTCATTAAGCCCTGCCTCATATACAGGCCGATCTAAGGTCGTATGTGCTATGACACTTAGTGAAAGATTCCTCCTAAGGAACCTCATTGAGCCCTACCTCATATGCAGGCCGATCTAAGATCGTATGTGCTACGACACTTAGTGGAAGATTCCTCCTAAGGAACCTCATTAAGCCCTGCCTCATATGCAGGCCGATCTAAGCTTGTATGTGCTACGACACTTGGTACAAATGTCCAACGTATATGCCTAATTCGGAAAGCGCGTACTGCATAACTAAGAGAAATTCATTTAAAGTAATTCTACACACTGTTGTAACACTTTTATAATTTTTGCTAAGTCTGTGAGAAAAAGTCGTACTGAGCATAAACAAATCATCCATTTCAAATTAAAACATAATAAATCAGTCAAATATCCATTTCAAATTAAAACATCACAAAACACGTAAGGGTCTTGGGGGGTAAGGGTGGTATCTCCAACATCCTGAGCTTCCGGTAACACTCGGACTCCGACAGACTCCGACAATTTCCGCAACTCCTCCTTCTACCCCTCCAGTGCCTCATCCAGAAAGGCCACATCAAGATCGTGCCTCTCCTTCCTGATGTACCCTATCAACACCTCCAGGGCCACAACATACAATCCTGGGCCACCACATCAAACTCGAAGGACTCCTTCCAGGCCTCAACCGCCCCGTCGATCTTGGCCTCAGCCTCTTTAGCCCTTTTTGTGGCCTGCCTCGCCCTTTCATTGGCCTCCTAAACCTTCTGGATGGCCTCCCTAACTTTGTCACTCTCCTCTTTTGCCCGAACTCTGGCCTCTTCCTCCGAGGCCCTCAACACCTTGATCTCTTCCATCAGTCGCTCCTCGACATCAAGCCTGGAGTTCAGCTCAATTCCCATCTGGTTCAGCTTCTCCTCGTACTCCTTCTCCCTCAAAGCAAATTGGGCCTTTTCAGCCTCCATGCTGTTATAAGATTGAAGGCCTGATCTTTGGCCTCTATGAGTTTGTCCAGTTCGGCCTTCACCTTTTTTAGAAATCAAAAGCCAAGCAAGTCATTAAGGTATTTAAAAAAAACAAAACAAAAAACAAACAAGTAGGAGGTATACCTTATCCGCCACTGCCATCATGTACAAAACTGATCGGTGGCCATGGAGCTGAGCAGTGACTAGAGCCTCGCCAATGGGCATCTCATTCAGATAGCCCTATTCATTCTCACCCCAGCTCTGGGTAAGTAAATTGGCCGACTCCCTCAAAGGCGAAGTGAGCGCGGCAGTCATGCCCCTAGGAAGAGAAGGAGCTCGGAGGTAGTCTAGAAATATCTCCGGTCTGTGTCCCACCAGACTTTCCCAACCCGACCATTGTAGATCTGGGCACCAATCCTTCAAGTTCGCAGAACTGGTCCCCACAGCAGCAGGAGCAATCGGTGATGGCAACGAGGCAGACGGCAGGGTCGAGCTCAGCAAGGGTACTACCTCCAAAATTCTCAGTGATGTCGAGGGTGCAGATCGGTTCCTCTCTAACGAAACCTCTTTCTCCACCTCCTCAGAATAGCTCTCCATCCGATTTGGAACTTCCCTCTTTTTCCCCTTTGATGCAGCAGCCGCCTTGTAGCCCCGTATTTCGTCTTGATGACCTGAGAGAAAGTGAAATGCTCAAAAAGAAAACATATATATGCATAAAGGAATTATAATCACGAATGAAGATCAAAATATTACCTGAGCTAGAGGGAGCAAAACTTGAAGCTCATACTTGTAGCAGTCCGGCCCGGTATAAGTTCGAATCTGAAATTACAAACTTACAAGACCTTTGCTTTTTAGGTAACGATCTTATTTTCTCAGCTCTTCTCTGAGTGTCTTTGGTTAACGTCTCCTTCTTGTAATCTATACGAAGAAAAATACCGAGGTCAGAACTTCGTAAAACATATGCCTTGCTAAAAAAACTAAAACCCAGAAAGGCACTTACATAACGAATGATAGAGTCTAGGAACCACGTCCTCCCTATTCACCTCGGCAAAATGAAACTGCCACTCTCCCGAAACGTAAAACCATTCCTCCTTCCATTTCTTAATTGAGGAAGGGGTGTCTAACACCAAAGAACCTCCCATCCTGGGCCTAACGCTTGTGTACCACCAGCCCGAGTTCTTCCCATCCTCCTTAAAAGTAAACAAAGAATCGAATTGCTGGACACTCAGCTCAGGATTCCCCATTTGGTCCCACAGAATAAGGGTGGCAATTAAGGTTCGCCACCCATTAGGGCATAGCTGTGTGGGAGCTATGCCCCAAGAAGAAAGGAATTTATGGATCATCCTAGGAAAAGGAAGCCTAAGGCCAACCTGAAGGATAGCGGAGTTCAGAGGAACACATCCCTCAGGAGGAGTGTCAGCTCGGTCAGAAGGCTCTGGTATTATCATAACTACCGAACTAGGGATGGCGTACTTCGCTCGTCAGCTGACCAACACATCCCTTGTCACAACTGACCTATAAGAACTCGTCCCCCACTCCTCGAAAATACCCTCCTCAACATCCTTACCGGATCCTCCTGCTCCCTTAGAACCCTCACGTCCTAAGTCCATCACAGAATGCCCTAGGTCAGTTGGGTTAACTATAGAAATAGGAATGGGGGTAAAAATTTCCGTACAACTAGAGGACGAACTCGAGAAAACTGACTCTTCCTGCTGGTTGCCCCAAGAATGAACTCTAGACTCGTCCGAACTTATGTATAAACTAAGAAAAGAATCACAAATTGAAGGGAGGCAGCAGATAAGAACAGAAGGGTACCTGGGAGACGAACTAAGAAAACGATCTCACTCGAATACAGGAATACGAACTTAGGAAAATCGCCCAAATGTCTAAGAGAGTAAAAATTAGTGAAATAGGAAGAGAAATGGTTGAACAAAACCTGATTTAAAGAAAGGGAAGATGAGAGGGCGCGATCTGAGCCATTCGTCCGAAAATAGAGAGAAAATATCAACGGTCCAAAACTCTGGGAGACAAAACGACGTAGTTTTGGCCAAAGCTTGCTGAAGAAGCTATTTATAAGTGGCATACAGCTCATCCACCTCTAAAAGATGACACTTGTCACAGCCATAAATACATCATTGAGGTCAGCCCCCCATGACAGGGCTGACCTGGGGGGTAACTGTTGATATCCGAACTCCGATCTGGTAAAAACAGTTCGCTAACCCCACCTCAGTTAAAAGTGAGTTCAGTTCACACTCTCAGGTCGGAGTTACCTGCCATTATCTCAAAAAAAACACCATGATTACCCCTTGTCACATCACCCTATCAGTCAGAGACACTCTCCACAGGTGATGTCATCGCCGCCCGGAATAGCCAATTCCAAGTCCTCGAATTCCAGCTCCCTACAGGTCATCATTACTTTGGCAATACATTGGTACATGACCACCGGCCTTATTGACCAATCATTAGAGAATTCGACGACTCGAGTTGCAAGCTTGTCACTGTTGTTGATTTGATTGATTTGATGTAATTTCGGCTGAAATATGCATAAATAGTGGAATAGGACCCTTGTAAGAGGGAGGAGAAGAAAACAAATTGAGATAACGACTTATGGCACAATTACATCTTTGTGATCTTTTCTAAACACAAATCGCCCTTTTTCTTAAAGTTGGTTCAAAATCTTTCTTGCTAATTTTGACATCAACAGAAGGTAATGGTTTTGTGGTCCCTGTTCCTAGCTCCTTAAAGTGTCTCTTTTATGTGTATGGTAGTTTGGTCTCCAGAAACCTTGCACATATCTCAATCTCAAGATATTCTGACTGGGCTGATTAAGAATGTGTAATACACGACTCATAAGCTTTGGATGTGCTATTAAGTAAAAATGTTTCCTGGACCACCTTATCAATGACATTAACTTGGAAACAGCTATCTGATTCTGAAGGGAGTTTCATATCCTTAAAGACGTTGAATGATATATGCTCCTCCTCCAATCTCAAAATTAATTGTCCCCTCTGAACGTCAATTAAGGCTCTCTCTGTTGCCAAAAATGGTTTGCCGAGTATCAACAGAATGTCGTTGTTTTCCTCCATATCCAAGATGAGGAAATCTGCAAGGAATATGAATTTTTCAACCATGATAAGCACATCTTCTATTATTCCCCTTGGGTAGGTCAGTGACCTATCAACCAACTGCAGTGTTACGGTAGTCGCCTTAGCGTCTTCCAAGTCATGTTTCTTGAAAATAGATAGAGGCATTAAATTAATACTTGTACCAAGATCACATAAGGCTTTATCAAAATAAACTTCACCAATAGTGTAAGGAACAATAAAACTCCCTAGATCTTTCAATTTTGACGGGAGCTTTTTCTGAATTCTGGCGCTACATTCTTTTGTAAGCATTACTATCTCGTGGTCTTCCAGCTTGCGTTTATTTGATAGAATGTCCTTAAAAAACTTTGCATAGCTAGGCATCCGGGTTAGTGCATCGGCTAGCAGGATATTGATGTGGAGCTTTTTAAAGACTTCTAGGAATTTTTTGTACTGCTGCTCCATTTTATGTTTCCTCAACCGCTGGGGAAATGGAGTTGGAGGCTCGTGTGGGTTGACTATAGCTGTGGCTTTATCTCGTGAATTGTCTGAACTTCCCTTTGGAGTTGATTCTTTTGGTTGTTCGTCCTGTTCCATAGTTTCTTCCTCTGTAGGAAGTGATGTCTCTCCTTTCACACTCGGTCTCTTGACATGTATTTCAGGTAGCTGCACCCCACTCCGAGTTGTAATGGCCTTAGCTTGCTCCTTGGGGTTAATTTTTGTATTACTCGGCAGATTACATGGTGCTCTGCTAGTCAACGCCATGGCTAGCTACCCCATTTGAGTTTCGAAATTTTTAATGGCTGCATTTTGGTTCTGAAGTGTAGCTTTGGCTTTCCCATGAATTTTCCTAACATTTCTTCCAATTGAGGTCTCTTTTCTTGCTGTCGAAACTGTTCCCGTGGCCTATTTTGATTTTGGTTGCTCCAAGAAAAGTTGGAATGCTTCTTCCTACTGGGATTGTAAGTTTCCCATATGAGTTGTTCTGTTGGCGCTGTCCCCACTGTGCATAGTCTGCTTGCTCAATTCCTTGCATTATGATTGGGCACTCTGATGTTTTATGCTCAACTCCACATTCCTCACAATTGCTCTTTTTAATGTGTGCTGACTGTGACATGCTTTTAACCTTGTGACAAAAAGAGTTGATCTTTGCGGATATGGTTGAATAAGTGTCTATCTCATAGACACCCGGACCTTTCTTTGGGATCGCCCTATCAAAAGACCACATGGCTGAAGTGGTAGCCATTATCTCGAATAATTTCATCGCCCCATCAACTGTTCGTATGGAGATTGAGCCATCTGATGCTAAGTCCACCATGCTTTTGTGGTATGGAAGTAACCCTGCATAAAAGAAACAAATTTGGGTCTTTTTTTCAAACCCATGTTGAGAGCACTTTTGGAGCATGTTTTTGAATTTGTTCTAGGTGTCGTCAAATGATTTAGTTTCTCGTTGACTGAATATTGGTATGTCATGTCTCAACTTAGCTATCTTGACCAGTGAGAAGAACTTTGTGCAAAACTTATGACCCAGTTCAATCCAGGTGGTAATGCTTGCGACAGGAAGTGAATCTAACCACTCAAGTGCTTTATCCTGTAGCGTATGTGGAAATAGCCTTAGCCTAATAATGTCGTCTGAAATTCCTTAATATCTGAAATGTTGGCACATATCGAAGAACCTAGATATGTGTGTATGTGGATTTTCTTCAGCTCTGCCATAAAATTGATGTCCATTCTGGAATAGCTGTATCACATTGGTTTTCAACTGGAAGTTTGGTTGTCCAAATGGTGGATACACTGTACTGGACTGGCTTTGAATCACTTTAAGAGTCAAGAAATCTCCCAAAATTTCATTTCCTTCATCCACCGCCTCTCCTTCATTAGCTTGTAAAACGGGGATGTTCTATAAGTTAGCTATTTGTTCTTGTTGTTGTTGACGTGCTTCTCTATTTTCTCGTTACAATCGATGAAAGGTTCGCTCAATTTCTAGGTCTGCTGGAATTAATTCTCCTCCCTCGTCGTAAACATGCAACTCTGCGAGAAAATCAATAGTAGCACTTAGATTCAATCAATATAAATAACTAAAATAAAAATAAAACAAAATGCTTAAACGAAATTAAATGAATAAATAAAAATGAAAATTGAAAGTTCGATTTAATGCCTAGAAAGAAATAAAATTAAACTAAACTTAATCACCGGCAAAGGCGCCAAAAATTTGTTTACGAAATATTTCTTTCGATTTAAACCACCACAAGTGTCGGTTCGTTAATAAGTAATAAAGTGGATATTTGAGTCCAAATATCGTCCCACAGGAATTGAGCAGTTCAGTTATACCTATCGTAGCCTTAACCGAAACTTAATTATCCAAATTGAATTCTTGATCTAAAGGAAAACTTAATTATGCAAATGTTATGAATTAAAGGATCTAATGGGAAAAATGAAGTTTTAATTAATTACAATGCAAATTAAATGGTTTGACCGCAAGTTTGTTGTATTCAATGAATGTTATCGCACTAGGATAACGAATTTCCATGCAATGATCACCTTAAATCCTAGTTTCACAAATGACTCACGATTGAATTATTGACGAATCAATGTTCCTAATTATATCAAATACTCTCTCTTGAGATGTATTGAGACTATTTTTACATACCATCGGCCCATATATATATGACAAGTGCATATAAAAATGCATTCGATTTTATGAACACTTAAAGATTCACATAAAATATAGAGGTATATCTCTATCCCCTATCGGACCATACAATGAATTATACCTTGTCGAATTTATTTCTCTTCTCTCGAACAGATGAAATAGACCACCACATATCACATAATTACCTGCACGTAATTATGGAAGAAAATCAATGCATATAATTCATTCAAATATCCAAATACACGTTTTAATGTCAAATTGCAAAACTAGAAAATTAAAGATTACATCACATGGTTCATCGATCTCTTAGTATATGAAAATCTAGCCTAACATGGAGAAAGAATCAAAATACATCATAGATTGAAGAAAAAGTATCACCGGGTTATGAATTTGCGTGAAATCTCTATGATCTTCGTAAATTTCTTCGTTCCTTCTGCTTAAGATTCTCTCCAAGATATGTTTTATTGCCTACCAATGCATTCTCCCTTTGTTTCTGATAGATTTGGGTATTTATATCGTGTTTAGATCAGGTTTCCATAAAAATTTCATCGTGAATAGGAATCTGCAGAATCGACCCCAGAATATACCTATGTGACCACATAGGTTTATGAAATTTGGCATGTTATTTCCCTGCCTTGGTGTTCACGACCGTATAAAGGTTTCTACTATGCAGCCGCATAGTAGAAAAAACTTTCAAATTATGTTATGTTGGTCCTAAAACTTTATTCTTCCACTTCTTGACCTCATTTCATATTTCTAGTTGTTCCAATGTTCCATTATGACCTCCAATCAGTACTTAGCTCCATCAATTGCTTGTTGTGTCCGTCAGATCAACTTTTCAGATAATTGCACTTTGGTCCCTGAACTTTCACTTTGCTTCAATTTAGTCATTTTTCGCTTCTTTTCTCTTGAATTTCACCATGTTCATCAGTATGTCCTACGATACACAAATTAATCGAAATTAAATCACAATTCCAATGTTTTGCTCTTAATTACGTCATGTTTGTGAACTAAATAAATGTGTAAAAACACACTTATCATAATGCAAACAGCAAACGCAATTAGGTTTGCAAGCAGGACACAAGGATAGAAGTAGGGGTTTTTCTAAAATTTACCGCTTTCGTGAGTAAAACTAATACCATAGACTAAGGCCGATGGTTTTGGATGTAAGGGAGTGCCAACTTCTGCAAGTTACATGAGGAAGATAATTCCAAATTGACTAGTACAAGCTTGATGGAGGAAACAAAGTCTAACTTGGCCACAATGATAAGGATATGTCCACTTGAACTTGAGTTTTAGAGATTGTCCACTTGCATGGAAAAGGACATGCCATTAAGATAGGGTCGGAAAGGGATAAGATACATTGCAACATGACAACTTACAAGTGCAAAGACATGCAACTTGCAAGATAACAAATTCCAACTTGGCTACCTTGTAGTCTAAGGAGGCCAATGGCAATTTGCAACTAATGAGGACATTTAGATCAAGATCATAGTCATTGATACCAATTTACATAGCATAAGTTTGCCTATAAATAGAGGTTCTTGGTCATTTGTAAATCCCATCAAGGAAATGAGTAAATAATAATAATAGAGTTCAGAGAAAATTCTCATGGATGGATAAGGAGTAAAGTAATGCTGAGTGATATCTTTGTAAAGAGAAAATACTTTGAGAGTTTGTATATAGTTTTCTCTTACATTTATATAAAGAAAATTTCCTAATTATATGTGCGCTCTTTTCCTCATAATTTCCTATCTACCATCTCTACTAAAGCCGAATTAATGCTATCTCAGGGACAAAATTAGTGACGCATAGTACCAAAGTAAGATTCACGTGGGCTTGAACTAATTTTCATCTCAAAGGTAAGGTGACATCCATGCAAAATTCACGTGGTGTGGACTATGAGTGCGGTATCAAAGCCAAGGTTTGGTTGTGGTAACAAAGTTTAGCTGTGGTAGCTAGGTGAGTGGGAGGTTCTTGGAGCTAGATCTGGATGTAGTGATCAAAGGACGAAATCTTATGATGCTGTCAAAATTGTAGCAGAGGTGAGGAAATGTAGTGTTACCTCGGTAAAAGGAATGATGACTCGTTATAAGAGTAAAGCACGGGAAGAATCAATGATGGAAGGAAAATTCGACCCAATCATTATCAACATAGGTGATAGGGTTGAATCCTTGGATCACTTGTTTGAGTTGTTGGAAAACCATGCATTTGGGAAGTTAAAGACTTCCCAAATTAAAGTCTAAGAGGTAATTAACGATCAAGCATCGTTGGGGACGATGTTCGATTGGTGAAGCATTATGTTCAGGCTGTGGGAGTCAAACAATTCGTCGTAAGTGGAAATTTCACCCATCTCCAAGCTAAAGTCACTAATGCAATTGGTACAATATAAGGACACGCGAACCAGTTAACCATAACGTTGGAAAAAATGAGCTAGGAGTTCAGAAAATACAAGCAATCTATCGCTACTACTAATAGTGTTGTCACCCAGAAGATTGAGTACCCAAAGCTTAAGGGTTACAATAGCTGGTGAGATGCCGTAGACGTGGAGAACTTTCTATGGAAAATAAAAGTGTATTTTGATGGCGTGAATGTTGTTGAGGAGGCAATGAAGGCATGGACCAATTCAATGTATCTCTCTGACATTGCAGCGTTGTGGTGGTATCATAAGCATGGTAAAATTAAAAAGGGAGCTTACAAGGTTGACACTTGGGATGAGTTCAAAATGGAGCTAAAGAGGCAATTCTACTCGAAGAATGTCGTTTATGAGGCTCGCAAGAAATTGAGGAAGTTGAAACATATGGGAGCAATTCATGATTATGTCAAAGAGTTCACAACCATTGTGCTTCAAATCCTAAGAATGCTGGAAGATGATTTGCTATTCTATTTCCTAGATGAATGTGCTAGGTAGGAATGACATGAGTTGGAACATCATGAAGTCAAAATCATAGACGAGGCTATTGAGTTAATCCAATCTTTGATGGAATTTGAGGAAAGCGTCAAGATGGAAGCTAAAACCATCAAATGACTAAAGGAAACTTTGGTGAAAATGGAAAAGACGCAAAGAAAGCCATGCGGTAGAGTGAGTAAGCTGGATTGGAGGCAAAATCAT